CAATCGGCGCTCGCCGTCGAAGAATTTAAACATGGAGGTCACTGTTGAGGGTGAGCTCATCCGACCCGAGGAGCTGGAAGTGCCAAACCAATGGTTTACCAGCCGAAAATCGAAGATTGTCCCGTCGGAAAGTATTACGCGGGAAAGTGACCAAAGCCGCGCCCCGACAAAGGCAATGGGTAGAAAGATGGCGCTGAAGTCCATAGAGCGCAGGCAGATGCGCATGCCGACTTAGGCGGCGAAGATTGTGCTCAGGCCGCGTGGAGGCCTGACGAAGCTGATCCAATATGGGACGGCCCACCTGGGCGACGTCATCAAAGCCGCAGCCGGGATCGATCCCAAGGAAGAGGGCGACGATATATTCTCGCCGAACTTGAAACAACAGTCCATTCTCGTCGGGACCACGTGCGAGAAGCGAAAGCTTAAGTACGCCTGCATCAAGCAGATAATGCTCGACGGGGAGTGTGTCGAAACCTCTGCCTACGTGGTCACCCCGGAGGATTGTGGCAAGGGGGCGGAAGATATCGCGAGTGGCGTGATGGTCAGTAGCGGAAGATATCGCTGCAGAATCGGCCGTAAGCGGCCGATTCTGCAGCGATATCTTCCGCTACTGACCATCACGCCACTCGCGATTGCGCTTCAGGTGACGGGGGTACCCGCGAAAATGTCAGGATATCAGGCGTTTCATAGCGACCGGGGCGAGAAATCGACGGTCACGACACTTGTGAAACGAAACATCGCGGTGATAGAACACGAGCTCGATTCAGGGGCGGATCCAGACCTCCATTTTGGGGGGGGCGGTTCCTCGGCGTAAAACGGGGGGGGGGGGGGGGGGGGGGGGGGAGTGTTTATATTTTTTGTGGAGTCATCGTTTTTACTAAACTCTGATAACATAATATAGATCTTGAGAGCTTTTGTATCGGTTTACCTGTAGGGGGTGAACTCTTTGAACTTTCTGTGGCTATGCACACCAAGGCACACGCTCCCGTACTTTTGACTGCATAGCCTCAGAAAGCTGGGCATCTGGCCAACGCAATGTCTCTGCTCGTGCGGAAAATCACGTGCAATTGCAAGCTTACCAAAGCTATATTCACGTGCACGCCATACGTGCCTGCTCGTATGGGGCACCAGTCAGGACGCTACACTGTAGCGTCCTGACTGTAAATTTGACCGTAAAATCTACGGTCAAATACCAGGCAGCTGATGCTGCCAAACTTGTACAGTAAAAATAACGGTGCACTGTAAATCTGGTTTACGATAAATTTAAACGGGGACCGTAGAAATCTACAATCGGCCTTCAAATTTGCGGTAAAAAAAATTTACAGCGCGCCGTTATGTTTACGGTGCAATTTAAACGACGAGAAAGGTGGTAGTATTCAGGTTCATAACATCATTGTATAGTGATGTTATGAACTCAATGATGTTATGAACCTCGACTGAACCAAGCACGTTTTGAAGGCATTCAGCAAGTTGGCCGAACATGTATTGTTTGTACAAGAAATGCCGACGTTGAAATTCATAAATGGTATTTTGAACTGTTGATACCGGCATAAGAAGCGTTCCGTTGAACTTCAGGTACAAAAAAAAAAAAAACAAGGTCGTATTTTACGGCCTTCCTTTTTTCTCCTGCAGACAGAGACATTAACACGTCGTAGTTATCATTAGGGGATTGCATCACGTTAACAGCACCGTCTTCATTAGAATCCGCACTGGTCGACCGAGAAGCGGGCCTGCAGGCGATGCGCCGTCGCCCAAGAAACCCGTCACTCGTAAATGCGCCCAGTTCAAATGTGCCGTGATCGAACTATGATTTCACACCTTCTGACAGTTGGAGCACGAACACGAAAACAAAATGCTGTCGGTGATGTGGCCTTTTAGATGTTTTAGCAAAGCCTCCCTTGTGTGGCACTCCTCTAGGCATGGTGGCAAAGTGCACTGAAAGCTTTCCAAACTCCTCGAAACAAACCAAACTTCCCTTAGGCGTACCAATGCCTATGTCTTCTCAAAATATGACACCTGAGAGCATCATACGTAACAAACTGGCGACAGCATCCTTCGTCCACACACTGAAGAATTCGAGAGCTGAAAACGTGCTCATCGAATTGCACAACCATCAAGCGTGCTTGAACAGAAACTACAAATTCTGCAAGTAAACATCTTTTAGAGTGTTGTATTTATGCCACCATTACACTATCCTTGCCAATCAAGCAGCAGATTGATAGTGAAATACCTGCCTCGAGTATCCAGTTGCCTTCCGCTCCAAATTTTCAGGTGCACAAAAATCCGGGAATGCCACAAACGAACGAGGACAAAATGGCGCGGAGACGGGTGGGAAGGCGGGAAAATGAACTGAACGTCAGCTTTTTCCACTTCTTTCCGCGTTGTGCCAACCAACGTTCCTTTCTTTTGTTTATGCTTCTAGCTAGTCGCATTGTTGCTCTACTGTTTGCTCTTAGTTCTCTTTTTTTTCCTTTTTCAGTTAAGGCAGTTACGCTCTGCGTTGGCGCGGCTGGCGCAGACAAAGAAAGGAGGTGAAGGGGCGAGAGGAGATCTCTCTGGGTTCCCGCAGCTTCCGAAAGGTCAAGAGTGGTGACCAATTAGCGAAGCGCGTCTTTTCTTTCTGTTTTCTTGCTCCATGAAGTTTTGCGTTTCCCTCTCGGTTTTTTTGCTCGTTTACGGTGCATTTCAGATAATTCCTCTTCACGGCGTACTTGTAGTTTTTATTAGCGTATAGCGCCGTAAATTTGACGGTTACTTTTTACAGTGTATGCTTTCGAAGCTAAGCGCTTGTGAGCCCGAGCATGCTGGGCGCCGATAAAAGCTGCGCACAATGCCTGGTTACTACTACTGATATGTCAAAAAACCCCTCGACCGCACGAACACTCGTGTGGGGGAAGCTCCAAAACTAATAGATTGCGTTTGTCCAAAGTGAAGTAGGGTAAGATGGGCCAAATGAGACGCGGGGCAAAAGGCGACAGTTGGAGTGAAGGCATCCAACGAAAGTTTTTGTTTAGTGCCAGCTATCACATAGACACAAGTCTCAAGCTTCACTGAGACGTGCCTTAGCCTGTTCACTTTGCGTGAGCCATAAATGACTGCCTTTGGCAAGTCCTTTCCGGAGAAAAAGAAATGCCGATTTGAGATTGCCGAGTTTACCGCCCGTCAAAGAGGTGCATAATTCCGCGCGAGATTTCGCTTAGAGAAGTACGCCCCGGTTGGCACAGACTTTCTACCAAGGTATAATTTAATTTCATTCCTAAGTTTTATTCGCTTCATGCAGACCAAATTTGAGTGTTCAGCGTACTTTTTTTTACGGAAATAATTATTCGCGTAACGGGATACGCGCGAGACAAAACGCGACAATGTAGCATTGTATGACGCGTGTGTCAATAATGTACCAGTTTCCTGGTTGTTCCTGAGTCATATTTTCCTCTCGGTGTCTAGGAGGATCAAAACGTACAAAAGTAAGACAACAGGGGCTTCATGGCGCATAAGTAACACTACGAATGCTCTTGAAAGTGAAGCAACAGCGTCACTCCCTTCGCGTTGCCGCCACACTTTTTGGCGTACCAATGGATGTGCTTCAAAAGCGAGCAAAAAGACAAAAAAATATAAAAAACAATGGCACCACAAAAAAAAAAAAAAAATGGCGAGGCGTTTGGGGGGGGGGGGGGCGATCGCCCCCACCGCCCCCCCCCCCCCCCCCCCCCCTTGGATCCGCCACTGGCTCGATTTGCGGGAGATCGAGAACGTCTTTGTCGAAATTTTAACGGGCAAAAAAACGGAACCCAGCCTCTTTTTGTTGAATATATACAGCTCGCCTAAACAAAGAAAGGTTAGGTTCAGAGCCCTGCTCCGCAAAACTCTCAAAATTAGCGGAAACCGGCCTCTAGTGGTTGTGGGGGATTTCAACGCGCATCATCAGGCCTGGGGGTACTCTCATCAGTGCCCAAAAGGTAGACAATTGTGGGAGGACATGCAAGACCAGGGGCTTTCGTTACACACTGACCCTGATAGCCCCACGCGAGTGGGCAACAGCGTTAGTGTGGATACGTCTCCAGATCTCACCCTCTCCAAGAACGTCCGCGGCCTCGAATGGCACAATTCGGAGCTAAATTTTGGGAGCGACCACTACATACTGGTATCCCTCCTCAAAGAAGGCCTTAAAACGCGCAGGGCACGCGCGTCAGCCACCGTCGAATGGGACCAGTTTAGAACAATCAGATCCAACCAGGAAGGGAAGCCCATTTGCGACATCGGGGAATGGGCGGAACAGCTAAAATCGAACGTCGGGGAGGTTACCAAAACCTTAGAAGGTGAAGACGCCCCCGAGATTGTCGATAGCCGCCTCCTGCATATGTGGGAGGCTAAGCAAAGCATGGAAAGACGTCTAAGGACACAAAAATGGAACCGCACCCTCCGGAGAAGGTTAGCGCGACACAACAAGGAAATTGAGGATTACTCCTTTAAATTATGTGAACAAAATTGGGGCAACAAATGTGACCAGATGGAAGGCGAGATGAACCTCGCTAGAACGTGGGGTATGCTCCGCCATTTGCTCGACCTGGAAAATTCGAAAACCCAATCGGGAATCAGACTCGCCAAAGCTCGACAGGCTTTTGATGGCGGCGACGACGATTTCATGCAGAAACTAATAGAAAACTACGTAGGTGAGACCCATCAAACTCCCCTTCCAGACTATGATGGTGCGCACAACGAGGCGCTTGATGCCCCCATCACTGAAGCGGAAGTTAGAGCGGAATTAGTTAGGCTCCGCGCAAAGTCTGCCCCGGGTCCTGACGGGATTACAAATAAAATGCTCAGGAACTTGGATGATACCTCGATAGGTTACCTAACGGAGTACATGCAAGAATGCTGGGACAAAGGCGAGCTGCCGCAGCAATGGAAATCGGCAAACGTCATCTTAATACGCAAGCCGGGCAAGCCTCCGCAGCTCGGGAATCTCAGGCCCATATCGCTTACCTCGTGCATAGGAAAGCTAATGGAGCACGTCATCCAGACGAGATTAATCGAATACCTGGAAAAGCAGGACCTCTTGCCGCACACAATGATCGGGTTCCGCCCTCATCTGTGCACGCAGGATATCATGCTTCAGATTAAACACGACATTGTCGACTCGCGGTCTAAGGATGCGAAGGTGATCCTAGGGCTAGACCTGACGAAAGCCTTCGACAACGTAAAGCACGAGGCGATACTTACCGGACTTAGCAATCTAAATGTGGGCACTAAAACTTTCAATTACGTGCGAAACTTCCTTTCCGGCAGGACGGCCTGCGTAAAATTTCAATCTATCGAATCTTCCATTCTTGAGCTGGGCAGCAGGGGCACGCCCCAGGGCTCGGTGTTGTCCCCCCTCCTCTTTAACGTGGCCATGTGCGCGCTCCCCGGGCAGTTGGAACGCATCGAGGGGCTACAATTCAGCCTCTACGCAGATGACATTACCTTATGGGTCAACCAGGGTAGTGACTCGGAAATTGAACAAAGGCTCCAGGCGGCGACCGACACAATCGTGAGGTACGCGGCCGAGCGAGGATTGGCTTGTTCGCCACAAAAATCGGAACTATTCGTCTACAACCCTAGGCATCTCCGGTGTAAGGCACCGTCGGATATTCTAATTCAGGTAGCGGGAGCAGAGGTCCCAAAAGTAGAACAGATACGAATTCTCGGCCTAGTTCTCCAGTCTCACGGCCACAACGGAGAGACTCTAAAGCGACTGGAGAGCCACGTGACGCAGACACTGAGCCTCATCAGGCGGGTTGCGAGCAAAGGGCGAGGATTAAAAGAAAAGAATTTAATGAGGCTGGTACAAGCTTTCATATTCAGCAGAGTTAGCTACTCTACGCCTTATCTCGACTTAAAGTCGGCAGAAAAGATGAAAATTGACGGATTAATACGTAGATGCGTCAAGCGCGCGCTGGGCCTGCCCACGTGCACATCCACGGAGCGACTTTTGGCGCTCGGGATGCACAACACGTGGGTGGAACTGGCGGAAGCGGTGCGCACATCTCAGATTGAGAGATTGTGCGCCACAAAAACGGGCAGGACTATCCTGGCTAAAGTAGGAATCAATCCGCACAGGGGCCCAATCCTGAAGGCAGAAATTAAGGAGGGAATCAGAAGCTGGCTAACCATCCCCCCTTTACCTAAGAATATGCATCCCGAGCATAATAAGATCAGAAGAGAGAAGAGAGCAGAGGCCATTAGTCTCCGGTATAGGGAGCTGCCCTCGGAGCAGGTAGCGTATGTGGACGCCGCTTGTGGCCACGACGGACGAGCGGTAGCCGCGGTAGTCGATGGCCGCGGCTACCGCTCGATCGATGCACATGTGGGAGGCTCACACGTCCCTACTGGGCAGGTGGAAGACGGGCAAAAACAATAGGAAGCTCAGACTCCGCATTTCCAGGTTGGAAAGGGAGATTGAAGATCACGCCAATGAACTCAACCGGCAACAGTGGTGGCAGATATGTGACGGAATAAACGGGCAACTGGGAAATAAGAAATCGTGGTTTCTGCTGCGGCACCTCCTAGACCCGACTACGACCAAATCCGCGGCTCGGACACGCCTGAACCAGATAGTACATCAGTACGATGGGACGGGTGAAGAACTACTTGAGGACTTGAAAGGTAGATACATTAACACGACACAAGATGGGACTAGAGCCCCCGGGTACACTGGAATGGAGAATGAGACACTAGATGCGGACATCAAGGGCACGGAAGTGATGGCTGCGATGGAGAGACTCCGGACGACATCGGCTGCGGGGCCGGACGGAATAAATAACAAAATCCTTAGAAATCTGGATGACAACTCGGTCCAGGCTTTAACAGACTATATGAATAAGTGCTGGAAGGGAGGGAACATCCCGCCGGCATGGAAACATGCCAAAGTAACTTTCATACCAAAGCCTGGCAAGAAGTTGGACATCGAGAACCTCCGACCTATCTCCCTCACGTCGTGCCTGGGTAAGCTCATGGAGCACGTAATTCTCACGCGTTTACAGAACCACGTAGAAACCCATCGCCTCATGCCATACACGATGATCGGTTTTAGGCCGCACCTGTCCACGCAGGACGTTATGCTACAGCTTTCTAAGGAAATCGTAGACCCGGGAAACGGCCACGGTACGCGGGCCATCCTGGGGTTGGATTTGAAGAAGGCATTTGATAACGTCTCGCATGAGGCGATACTCTGCAACCTCTCGGAACTAAACGTAGGGCGCCATACATACGACTACATAAGGGATTTTTTGTCTAACAGGACTGCTCAACTCACCATAGGGGATCTGAAGTCGGCACACATACCACTGGGAAATAGGAGTACGCCACAGGGGTCGGTGTTATCCCCTTTTCTATTCAACACCGCGCTGATCACGCTCCCTAGGAAGCTTAACGGCATAGAGGGTACTAGACACACACTATATGCTGATGACGTCACGATTTGGACGAGTCAGGGATCAGACGGGCAAATCGAGACGGCTCTACAAGAGGCGGCGGACATCGTAGACGCCCACGCCCGTTGGGCAGGACTGGAATGCTCCCCACAAAAGTCGGAATTGCTAGTTATCCGTAATAACGGAAGGGCCTGCAAAACGAAGCCGAACAGGATACAGTTGAAAATTCAGGGAAACGAAATTCCGGAAGTAGACACAATGCGAGTGCTTGGGATGTACATACAATCCAACAGATGCAACAAGGTAACGCTGGACAGGTTGACGACATCGGTCCAGCAAACTATACGGCTCATTAAGCGCGTGGCGACTAGGCGACAGGGCATGAAAGAGCGCGATGCATGTCGGCTTGTTCAGGCGTTTGTAATCAGTCGGATCGTGTACGCCACTCCTTACCTAGACCTCAAGAAGGCCGAGAGTGAAAAGCTGAATTGTTTGATAAGGCAGGCGTACAAGGCGGCTCTTGGTCTCCCCAGGAACGCGTCCACCGTGAGACTTCTATCTCTCGGGGTTCACAACACTCTTGAAGAGCTCATTGAGGCACATCTCACATCGCAAGAGCGGCGGCTCAGGCAGACTGAGACGGGGCTCTGCATCCTGAGAAGCTTAGGCATGAGGAGTGGAGATCCTTCAAGCCAGATGACTTTACCGGTAGAGATGCGCGAAATCATTCGTGTCAAACCTCTCCCCAAGAACATGCAAGCGGGTCGTCACGAAGGCCGGAGGAGGGCCAGGGCGAAGACGTTAAGCAAAAAGTATCAAGGGGACGATAGTGCCGTGTACGTTGATGCGGCAGAATACAAGCTTACTACAGGCCAACATGCTTTCGCTGTGAGTGCGGTGAGCATCTCGCGCAGGGTAGCGGCCACGGTGATCACGGGCCGAGTGGAAGAGGCCGAAGAGGCCGCAATAGCACTAGGGATTGTTCAAAAGAGCACCAACACCATTCTAAGTGATTCCAAAACGGCCCTTCGCAATTTCTCGAGGGGACGTATCTCCACCACAGCATACAAAATTCTTAGCACGATGCCAAACGATAGGAAGGAAGTGGATCTGGTATGGGTCCCGGCCCACGTGGGCGTCCCGGGGAACGAGTCCGCTCACCAATATGCTCGAGGTTTTGTCAGCCGAGCAGGTGATGGGGACTTGGACGTCGGGGCCCCACGAGGTGAGGCACTGGATACGTATCAGGCCATAACCAACTATTACAGGGAGCTTAGAATGAGCCTGCCTCCTCCGCACGTTTCGCTCAGCCGAGAACAGGCTACCACGTGGCGGCGGCTGCAAACGCGGTCGCAGCCAAACCCGTGGACATACGCCAATATCTTTCCCGATCTAGTAAACCCGTACTGTCAACTATGCGGCGAGCCTGCCACCTTAGACCACATAATCTGGGACTGCGCGAAGGATCCGCCTCCGGCAGATCTAGTTTCATCTCCCTCACTTGAGCAATGGGAAGCTGTGCTGGCCAGCCCGGACCTGGACGTCCAGTCCCGGGCCTTGGCAAGAGCGCAAGAGGTCGCCGACAGACTTCAACTGCCGACCATGTGGAGCAGCTGAAGGAACCGAAGAAGGTCACCATCTGACTGACAAATAAAGTTTTCTCTCTCTCTCTCTCTCTGCCGTTATGGCAGTCTCCTTAAGGACGCGCTCCGCTGCAGTGGCGGAGGAAGTTGCGGTAGCATTGGCTTGCGTCGGCACGGAAGCAAATTTCATCATAAGCGACAGTAAAACTGCCATCCAAAAATTTTAGTGCAGGCAGAATTTCGCCTGCGGCGGCGAAGATTCTCGATCAGCGACAAATTGCGAGGAAAATTACGTTGATCTGGACACCGGCACATGCCTCCGTCCCCGGCAACGAGGCGGCTCACGAGCTAGATCGAGGTTTATACCACCGGGCTGGTGAGGACCCCCTCTGGCAAGGGAGCGGTGAACGCATGGTAAAATATGGGGAAATTACTCAACATTACAGATTGGAACGTAGGCTGGTACCCCCACCAGACCCGTCATTAAATAATACGCAGGCAGTCGCGTGGCGACGACTCCAAACATACACGTACCCACACCCAATCCTGGTGAACCATATGTTCCCGGATATAAGATCAGACGAGTGTACACACTGCGGGTTGAGAGGGTCCCTCGACCATACAATCTGGGAATGCTCAAATTCTCCTGGGAGGGCGCTAAATATCGCTTCTAAAGAATCCTGGGAGACCCTGCTTCGCAGTTCGGACCCTGAGCTCCAGCTCCGCCTCGTCCGACTGGCTGAAGAGGCCGCCGGGACACAAGACCTCCTGGCCAGCATCTAAAGCGGTGCCTCCTGCCTCCCCGGCCTGGTGCCGAGGGCTCTGGGCCTGTTGTCTGTGTACATTACGATTTCGCAGGTCTGCTCCGAGGTCGTCCACCCCTCTTGACCAACCCACTGCGGCCGAGATGGCGATGTCTTTGGGACTTCCCCAGCTGGTCTCCGCTGGAGGGCGGCGGTCGTTGGCCTGTCGGTGCTGCCTTCTTCGCGACCTCCTCACTGCCCACCACTGCAGCCAGCTCGTACCGCGACACCTGGGTCCAGCTGCATCAGCATGGTACCTGTGATGCTCTGCGGGGCTGTGACGGTGACTGTCAAGTGCTTGGGACTTGAACGTTCCTTTTCTTCTGCCTTGGTGCATGAGCTCTTGACGGCGGACACTGTGAAGATGCGCGCTGGGTGTCGCGTGTATTTGTTGGGGATACACATAGAGATATTTTATTGAATGAGAGCAGGTGGGCCTCCTTTATTCTTTATTGAGACCCACCTATCCTTTTAAGGAAGGGGGAAGTGGGGATTCCTGTGATCTCCATTCCCCGATGGCTGCGATAACGGCCACGGGTCGGAACACTCGGCCTCCTTCGCCGTGAGCTCCGACCTGTTCGTGAAGCGGATGGTCCCCTGTCTTGGAGGGCCCTCCCCTCACTCTCTCTCGGGGGGACCTCTTTCCGTTCCCCCACTCGGATGCATATCACTGCTGACAGGCGAGGAGCTTTGGCCTTTTGTTTTCCCGCTTTCGGGAAACGGACTCGTCCGATGACCGCGCTCCGAGCTGCGGTGCGCTAAGATACTCGGCCACGGATCAACCCCCCCCCCCCCCTTTCCCTCTTCCGGGCCGAAATCGGTTTCGCAGAGGAACTGCAAAATTTTCCTGCCGTCTAGAGAATGGCTTTGAACAGCTCCACCGAGAATAATCAAAGCCTGTGCATCAGAATTTTGACGTCATCGCAGTGAGATCGAGCGCAGACAGAGATTGGACACGAGCGCGGAGTCACAATTCGGCTGGAAATCGTGGCCAGTCAACGCGTCGAAAGATACCCAGCGTCTCTCCCTAACCCAATTATTGAGTTGACGCCCGTCGAACGTAACGACGTACCGTTGAAAGATAGGAGCGCGTTCGCAGGCTTGTCGGAACCGATGCATGTATGACGTAGTAATGCCGTGAAAACGCGCAATACTTTTACGCCGCACGCCTCTCACTTTCAAAACCGTCGATGCAGTGAACAACGGCAGCGAGCTATCCCGGCAGAATGACCGAGCCGAGAGCCACTAAATGAGCAACGCTTAGTGTCGGCACTTTGTTCCCCTATATTGTTGTGGGCGCCGCCATCTTGCTGCTTATACAGATCAGAGGCAACTGCCGATCGTCATGATTCAAACGTGCGACTTCCTCAGCATTAGCTTCGGTTTTAGGAAGCGCATGTAATATAGATTTGCTCTGTTGTGAACGGCTTAAACATTTGTGGAGGACGGAAAAGCTTTTCCTGTGATTTCAGACAAAGCTTCAGATAACTGGCAACCATGATTTTAAGCACTAAGATGGAGCTTAAAATTAGGGATGTCGCGAACCACCCTAGGTTCGATTTCGAAAGGTTTCGATATTTGCGAAGCGAACTAAGGTTCGAGTTCGAAAAATTTCGATATTTTCGTACCGACCGAGGTTCGATTTCGAAAAATTCGCACCTTTTTTCCACAGCGGAGCTTCGAATTCGAAAATTTCGAAGCTTTCACGGTTTCTAAAATTTCGAATTCGAATATTTCGAATATTTTTTTACTTCAGGTTCGATAAATTCGAAGATTTCGAAATTCTTTGTAAAAAAAATTCGAAAACTTCGAACGCTTCGAATTTTTATAGACATGAAGTTCGAACAATTCGAAGAATTCGAATTTCTTTTGGCTTAAAGTTCGAAAAGTTCGAAAGTTTCGATTCTCTTTTAACGCTACATTCAAAAAAAAAAAAAAAAAACTTCGAAGATTTTGAATTTTTTTCTAATCCAAGTTTTCAAAGTTTGAAGTCCGATTTTCAAGTTTTTCTACAGTTTCAGTTTCAAATTACGTTTTCACGACTCACTTGTTTTCACAAAATCAAGTTTAGAAAAGTTAGGGTGTGATATCTAGATTCTGCGAAGTTGGTGAGGCAATTAAATGAGACGACGAGTGTCCCGGACGTGCTAGAATATTTGCCAGTGCAGAATTGTGACCGCCAGCCCCCCGGGGGGGGAAGGGGAGGGGGGGGGTCTTTAACACGCAGTAGTGATTGCACGAACACACTGTTTTACGAGACTCATCCAGTTCGAAACGGCCAAGGGCGAGCAGGAGGTTGAGGCTCAGAAAAACCTTGAAGCGACCTGGCAAACTACCTCGCCACCCCTTGCACGCTGGTAGCAATCCGATCCGGTGAAGTTTATAATTGTCCTGGAGGTTTATTTTCTGGGACGGAGGAATCGCCTCGCAAAAAGCACAAAAGCCGACACAACTCGAGGTCGAGGAGCGTTCTACCATACAAGTGGCGTCGGAAGAGGAAAAACGGGGGGGAAAGAGGGTAGCGGGGGGGGGGGGGGGGGGGGGGGGCTTCAGCCTCTTTCTCCCCTTTGCAGGTATTTCGGACTGTTAAAGAAAACAATACGGGGAAAGAGGGCGTGGTCGAGCTTATTTTAATCTGAAATTATTTATGAACACTGCATAAAAGGTTGCGTAGATGGTCACTGTTAGAAACTCGTTGTCAGAAGGCACTGCTCGTCACATGCTTAGTGGTTCGGAAGTTCAAAGCTGTCTTTGCGACCTAAACACCTGTGCCGATAGTAAAAAAAAAAAAAAAAAGAATAAATGCGGGAATAAAAAGCAAGAGAAAAAAAAAACTATCAAGAATTCGTCGGAAGTGTTCTATTCGTGCATATTCAGAGGTTCAGAACTTCGAAACAAGTTTCTTTTACCAAAATGTGTACAGGCTAAAAGAAACACGTCCCAGGAACGTGAAGCGAAAAAAAAAGAAAGTTTTCTTTTAATGACGTGCTGAACTTGAACACTACTAGAAATCTTCTGCAATGAGTTAATTTATTCCTTAACGTGAACGAACAATAAATATATTATTTTGTATTCTGCATATGGCAATGATATGTACTGTCTGTGGTGCTAATTTAAATGCGATACCTCAAACAACTTAGACGAAAATAAATATCAAGTTTAGGTCATAATTGCATGCAGATACATGTTTGGACATTTCTTCGAAACTCACGTTGAATAACAATAATCACATCTTAAGACGGCACTTACCTAGGCTATACATAGATCATTCTTAAAAAAGTATAACATATCTACCATAAATAGCTCCGGCTGCAGCGTGCTTCAAATCTGGCACAAACGATAATCGTCAAAAACCCGTCGTCCGTCCTCGCCCCTTCGGGGATTTATTTCTTTAAACCTAAGCATGCCAGAACATTGAAATAAATGACATTGTCTTTCGCAAGGAACGCAGGACCGCGTGTAAAAGTTCGAGAAAAAAAAAATTACGAATGTACCCCCTCCTTGAAATCAAATGAAACCGGCCGCCGGTCTTTCGAAGTTCGACGAACGTCGAACTTTTACCCTAAAAGTTCGAAGTTCGTCGAACTTCTGACTTTTCAGAATTCGAAAGTTCGAAACTTTTCGATTTTCTTGATAAATAAGTTCGAAAGTTCGAAATTTATCGAATTTTTTGGTCAGTCAAGTTCGAAAGTTCGACAAGCATCGAACCTTGCAGCGCAATAAGTTCGAAAGTTCGAAAAAGATCGAATTTTTTAGCGTAATAAGTTCGACGGTTCGAAAAGCGTCGAACTTCTTAGCTTAACAAGTTCGAAAATTCGACCTCCGTCGAATTTTACGATATAGACAATTCGAAAAATCGAAATCTTTCGAACCTTTCGAACCGCTTGATTCGATCATCGAAACTTCGATTCGAAAAAAGTTCGCGGCATCCCTACTTAAAATCATGAATATGGAAAGGAGTCGTGGTGCCGGGCTTGCCTTTTGGCAATGCGGTATTATGCAAGAAATTTGAGGTCCAGTTGGAGCTAGGGTGACCACCTTCCTGCTAGCGAAATGCGGGACATGCAGGGCAGGGGAGGGGGGGGGGGAGGAGAGGGGACGCATAGAGAAAATTTATTTACACGCACTCAACGAAACGAGGCTCTGTTAACTCATTTGTTACCCTGCACCGTTGACACACCTGCTAATTGTATTGCAGCAAGTAAGCTAAAATAATTTCCACTCCCGGTGATATATTTTATTTAATGC